TTCCTCAAGTGTAGAAAAGTCTCCTCCACTTAACAGCAGATGATATTGAGGAAATGACTTACCACGAGTCTCAATTTTCTTCAGCAACAAAATGGAGGTAATAGTAGTGCCATTCCCAAAGGATTAAGAAATTCAATAATTGTGAATATAAAACATTCAACAAGTTGGGCATAGTGTTACATGCTTGAAATCCCAGCTATTTGGGAGCCTGAGGCAGGAGTATTACAAGTTCTAGGTTAGCCTGGGCAAGTTAGGGAAACCCTGTCTCACAACAAAAAATATAAAGGGCTGGGGATGTGGATCAGTGATTAAATGCTCCTGGGCTCAATCTCTGGTACAAAAAAAAAAAGCCTGGAGATGCTGCTCAGTGGTAAAGGACCCCTGGGTGTGATCCCCAGTATCAACAAGGCTGGGAATATAGCTCAATGTTACAGTGCCCCTGGGTTCGATCCCCAGTACTGCAATAAAAACAAAACCAAACCCTCAGCAAACCAAGTGAAATGAGCTATTTCATTCATTGCTAGAAATTACAGTGAGAGAACTTTGCTGATGAGCAACTTAGTAATGGTAAAAAGTGTTCATACAAAAAATGTTCATACAAAAATCTATACATAAATGTTTGTAACAGTTTTATTTGTAATAAATAGTCAAAACCAAATCAGCCCAGATGTCCTTCAACAGGTAAATGGTTAAATAAACTGTGGTATGTCCATACCATGGAATAAATAAAAGGAATGAACTATTGATATACATAAAAACTTGGATGGGTCTCTAGGGAATTAAGCTATATGAAAAGAGTCAATTAAAAATTGTATATTGGATAATTCCATTTTTTATAACTTTATTTTATTCATTTATTTTTTTATGTGGTGCTGGGGATTGAACCCAGTGCCTCACATGTGCTAGGCAAGTGCTCGCTCTATCACTGAGACACAATCCCAGCCCAGATGATTCCATTTTTGAAATGACAAAATTTTAGAAGAGATCAGTGCTGCAAGGGTTAAGGAAGGGATGGAGTAGAGAAATAGGTGTAATTAAAAAAAAATGAGGAATTCTTGTGATGCTGGAACTGTTCAGCATCTTGACTGTAGTGATAGAATTTACACAGGTAATAAAATTGTATAGCACTTAATATGCACACATACATATACGCACACTCACACACGAGTAAAACTAGAGAAATCTTTTTTTTAATTTTTATTTTTTAAGAGAGAGTTTTTTAATGTTTTATTTTTTGGCGGACACAACATCTTTGTTTGTATGTGGTGCTGAGGATTGAACCTGGGCTGCTCGCATGCCAGGCGAGCGCGATACCGCTTGAGCCAAATCCCCAGCCCTAGAGAAATCTTTGCAAGATTGGTGATTGCATCAAGGTCAGTGTTCTGATTGTGATAGTATACTATAGTTTTGTAAAATGTTACCATTCAGTGAAAGTGGGAAAAATGAACAAGGGCTCTTATTATTTCTTACAACTACATGTGAATCTACAATTATCTCAGTTTTTTAAAAAAGCCATGATAAATCGTTAATGTTTCTACTAGAAATAAGAGGCAGAAGGGGCAGCCCTTGTGTTTCCTTTGTGAAATTCCAAAGAGGAAGATTAATAAATGTTATTCTCATTAGGGTAATCAATAAAATGATCATAATCATGTAGGGGGGATATTTGTATCTGTTGACCCAGTAATTCTACTTCTTGGAATTTATCATTAAAAATACATTAAGTTTTATGTGTTCAGATATTAATTGTGATATTATTTATAACAGTAAAAATATCTAAGTGATTAAAAACGGGGGATAAGTCTTATAAATTATGGTGTATCTAGGTGATAAAATACTCTATAAATTTCAAACATACTTTAAAAATATACTCAATAAAATGTATAGCAGGCACTCAATAAATGGAATTTGCTTTTCTTTTTTTTTGGTATTTAAAGAGCTAATGTAGATAAACTTGACAAACTTTTGCCTGGAAAATGTAAGTTGTTGCTATTCTTCTAAGGGCTATTTCTCCCAGTTCCATCCTGAATAAAGCTATACTTTCAGGCAGAACAATGGCTAAGTGGCACATGAGAATGGCCCCTCTTCTGGCTAGCAAGGCATCAAAATGATTTCTTAGGGAGTCTGAGTCAAGAGATTGGGGCTACTTCCTTTCCAGGGGACTTATATTCCTACTCACATAATGAAGAAAATTGGGAACATTCTCCCTAGTACATGCATGTGCATATGTGCATGTGCACATGCATGTGCACGCACGCACACGCACACGCACACACATATATGGCGATAATCTCCAGGGAATCATGGAGTCTTTGAAGCAATGTCATCCCTGAGGACATAAAAATAACAGTGTTCTACTACATCAAGCACTGCTGATTGGGCACTGAGTATCTACTGAATATCTGGTACTATCCTTGGTGGTTCTTCTTCTTCTTCTTTTTTCAGTTGCAGATAGACACAATACCTTTTATTTTATTTGTTTATTTCTATGTGGTGCCAGGGATTGAACCCAGTGCCTCACACATGCTAGGCGAGCACTCTAGCACTGAGCCCCAGCCACAGCCCTGTATCCTATGTTCTTTATAACATTATTTACAAAATTTTCACAGCAACCTTAGTGGTAGATGTTCATCTGCATATCACAGACAAGGAAATTTGGGTTCAAAGAGTTGACTTATCAAGGTAGCTGGTAAGTGGCAGAGCTGGCACTGGAACCTAGGGCTGTCTGCCTCCAAAAAATTGTGATCTAACTCCACATACTACATTCGAAGGACTGACGAAGGGTGTACTGTGTGGAAAGCATGCTGACACCGTCTGGAGGAGGCCTGGAAAAGTATCCTTGTTCTTCCAACTTAACTCATTGCAGGCAAAAGAAAAAATCTCTGGAGAGAGAAGCAGGCCTATTCTAAAGTCTTTCATCCCATTAGTAAGTTTTTCTGTTTAACCTGTATGCTTTCTGTTAAAATTCAACCCCTTCTCCTCTCTTCTGTTTCCAGTGAGGATGGTGAAGAGATGACACAGTACTCCTCCATGAAAGGTTCTAGGGAATAGAGAGGGCTTCTCTCTCTCTAGATTTGTTGAGGCCATGCCTAGGATGCTTCAGTCTCCTGGGTCTTTTGGATCTGTCCCAAGATATCAAACTAAAAGACAAGCAGGAAGGACACACAAAAAAGGAGTAGCCCAGTCAGACCAAGGCCAGCTTGGAGAATGGCCCTGGAGTCTTTGGGACCTTAGTGCTGGGCCCAGAGTGAAGTTAAGGTGGGCAGTTTTTCCCATCAGGCTCAGCAGTGGGCTTCGTGTTTGACATCTACCCAGCTATAGAGGTCTGGCTGGCATCTCTCTCCCCAGAGGCTCTTATCTATTCTCAATATGACATCTCTATAGTTACCTTTCTCTCAGAAAGGAGGGGGCTGGGGATTCTGCCACTATATATTTCCCTTCCTTTTCAATATCAGCTCACTGTATATGGTGCAGGTCCAGGCAACCAAACTGGGTGCTTAGAGATGCTCATGGAAAGGAATAATTTTGTTAGGAGGATGCTGAGATCCCAATGCTAAGTCCAAAGGAGCTCTTCTAGGATGTCAAAGCCAGGATTGAAGTTCTTTCTTCTTTTTTCTCCACATGAGAGATAGGAGGGCAACTGGGGCCTGAGATTGGACACATAGAATGGAGGGGTATGTGTCATTCCTCTCTCCCTCTTCCAGATTGTTATTCTACCTTGCTGGGGCCCAAGCATGCTCACTGCTCACTTTGGCTCCCCTTGGTCCATCTACCCTATGGACAGGAGAGGGTTAAAGGCATGGTATGGGCAAGCTATAAATTTCCCATCAGTGTAGGGAAAGCAGGATTGTTGGCAGGGAGGGGGGCAGGGTTGGGGGGGAGGGGGAGCTGGGAAAAAGCCAGGAGGTTGTCTCTAGGTAACAATAAACACTGCAAGCAAGGAGCAGCTGTTACACTTACTCTCTCTGCATCACAATGCTGAAATAACACTAATAAACCAGTGTACCCAATGCACAGGCAGACATGCATTCAGGGCCGGGGCCCCAGTGTACACCTAGGGCTGCCCTCTGTTCCAGGGCAGGGCCCTTAATACCAGTGGACATATCAGTCCTGGCCTGGGTATACTTGTGGAAGGATGAGGACTGATGAGTCCTTCCCACCTCAATGGTATTTTCAGGATCAGGGTAGGATAGCAGAGGATAAGGATCCTGGGTTCAGATCCTGGAGGCGTTCACTGGTGGAAAGAATTCAAATGTTGGTAGTTCTCAGTTGGGAGCTGGGAAGAGAGGAAGAGAGTGAGAGAGATAAAAGTACAGGGAACATAAAAGTATTTACCATGTTCTTTCAGACTGGAGAAGATGTGGTGGCCAGAAATGGGGGTAGTTAATGGGAGGTCAAAGAAAAGGGAGCACAGAAAGGAGTTTTAAGAAATAGGTGGATTGCTGGATGCAATGGTGCACATCTGTAATCCCAGTGACTCGGGAGTCTGAAGCAAGAGGATCACAAGTTCAAGACTAGCCTTAGCAACTTAGTGAGGTCCTAAGCAACTTAGTGAGAACCTGTCTCAAAATAAAAAATAAAAAGGGCTGGGGATGTGGCTTAGTGGTTAAGTGCTCTTGGGTTCAATCCCTGGCACCAATCAATCAATCAAAAAAGAGGAGGGATAAGCAGCAAGTGGTATAGAGGAGTTATTCTTATCTCTTCTGGGGATTAAGCCCCCCATCTACCTACACCCTAACTAATATACCCAGGCTCCCCCTCAATTTTATACTCAAGGCAGGTGATGGGTTAGCTTAGCTCAGGACTAAACTTTATTATGGGGTCTCTCAACTTGTGCTGCCAGAGAGAGGAATGATATAGCTGATTCCATCTCCCTGCACAAAGAGTGATTGGTCTGTCTCTTTCACCAAAAAAAAGCCATCTCTGGATCACCAGGAACAGTTGGGCAGAAGGCTTTTACCCTGGCTGAAAAGTAGAGCCACCTGCAATGAAACAGAATAGGCAAGTGAAAATTCAGGCTCGGTCACAGGCCCCAGGACTAGGATCACAGGCATAGACAGTTGTCTTAGTCTACCTTCTGATCTCTTTCTATTATGATATTCAGCACAGTACTCTATCATCCCCTGATTCAAAAAGGATAGAAATGTATATTGCCCACTGGCCTGTGAGAGGGGAAGGCATCAGCACTTTTAAAGACCTGTGTTTCTGCACCCACTGTTCATTCTGTACCAACAGCCTGTTCTGCCAATCTAAATACCCCTAGCTGCTCCTCTCTGGTCCTAGGTGTCTCTTTCTAAGGAAGAAACTACTGAGAAAAGGTGATAATTCTTTTAGGTTCTGATCTTGTTGTAGTGGTTTTCTTCTTTTTTAAAAAAAGAAAAGAGAGAGAGAGAGAGAGAGAATTTTTTAATATTTATTTTTTAGTTTTCGGCGGACACAACATCTTTGTTTTGTATGTGGTGCTGAGGATCGAACCTGGGCCGCACGCATGCCAGGCGAGCACGCTACTGCTTGAGCCACATCCCCAGCCCTGTTTTTTTTTTTTTTAATATTTATTTTTTAGTTTTTGGTGGACACAACATCTTTATTTTATTTTTATGTGGTGCTGAGGATCGAACCCAGTGCCGCGCGCATGCCAGACAAGCCAGTTACCGCTTGAGCCACATCCCCAGCCCCATTTTGTTTTGTTTTTTAATTTCTGAAAATGTAGAGTCAACTGGGTACATAATTCACTGGTGAGGCAGGCAAATGAGGCAGGGAGAAATAGTTGGGTGTACTTGGAAAGCTTTCTTCTGGAAAAAGTCCAGAGATACTGGGAGGCCTTAGCACATGTGAATGCCCAGTACACCCTGTGCAATCCATAGATACAGTAAGGCAAGAATAACTGGACTCTCCTTATGGGAAGCTGCTCCTCTGAGAATGTTCAGCTTCTCCTGCTCTCTTCTCTTCTCCCACTTCCTTCTTTTTTCATAGCTAGGGTCTCTCCTCATCTAGATGAGAGATTTTCATCCACAGAGTTCAAAGTGGGGAGAAGGAGCAAAGAGAGTTCTAATAGGCCTGGGCCCCCTTCCCCTCTGTTGTTTTTATGAGCCACCCCCACTGCTGTGAGTCACTAGAACCTCAGGCTCTGCTGAGCTGCCAGCAGCCTTCTCCCTACCCCCTCCTCCAGCCAAGCAAAATGCACCCAAAAGGCCCCGGAGCCCACCATCTTCTTACCCATAGGGCCACAGCCCTCTTTCATCCCTAATAATAGTAATCTGTAACACAGGCACATTGAGATGACTGAGCACAGGAGTGTGAGAGACTACTGCATGTGCTCTATGCAGGGGCAGAGTGCTGGCTGCCGTCTCCATGGAGCAGGATAACCAGCCAGGAGAGCTGGCACACTCAGGCATATAGCCCCATAGGCATGTGAGGGGAAGCAAGCGAGGATGGGGTAAGGATGCTGTTTCAGGAGCAGGGAGCAGGTATCTCCTTTTAGCTTTCTCTCTGGCCAGTTTCTCTCCTTGGCCTCTCTCCTTGAGTGCTAATGAACACCATGGTACAGCCACCTCCATCTACCCCTTTCTCTTCCTTTCCCCTTCTCCATAGCTTTGGGAATTATAGAGAGGGGATCTGCATAACAGCCTTCCAGGTGTCAAGGTAAGAGGTTCAGATTTCCAGGTCTCCCCCAACCACATACAGTGGGAAAATGGGGAGGAGGAAAGGGGTCCCCTTAGAGTAAAAGTTAAACCCTAGGCCATTGCTGAGCATTGTGGCTAGTTCTTTTTTTCCAGAAGGCAGAGAATTCTGGGTACTGTTTTCTCTACCTTCCAAACACTTCACATCTACCCTTCTTTTCCACAAAAGGCTCTGAACTTCTTCTGGACTCCAGGCTGTGGATCTGGAACCCTTGGCTAGACCTTGGGAATATGAGGTAGACCTGGTAGGGTTGAAAGAAAGGAAGCTCTATTTCTTTCTTTCTTTCTTTTCCTTTTCTTTCTTTTTTTTTTTTTTTAAGAGAGGGGCTTTTTTTTTTTAAACTTTATTTTATTTATTTATATGTGGTGCTGAGGATCGAACCCAGGGCCTTGCACGTGCGAGGCGAGTACTCTACTGCTGAGCCATAACCCCAGCCTGGAAGCTCTATTTCTTTGAAAAACACCCAGAATCTGGAGTGAGTACTTTAAGGGCCTTTCTGCCCCTTCCATATTCCCCCAGTATGTTGAAGTAGGGATGAACAAAGGGCAACCATCAGCAAGAGAAAGGGTGGCTAGCTCTTTTTTAGAGAAAGCCTGCCATCCTCTCTCCTCCCTTACTGCATGCTCTTTTCCATTGCTCTGCATTCCAGAGTAGAAACAGCACCCACCTAATATATCCCCCAAATAATACTTCCTATGACTGTCCTGCCTTACATTCAGCAGTCAACTCCACAAGTGGGACTACAGGACTCAGTTTCCAAATGTCACCTCTCCATATTGTCTCTTTGCAGCCTTCTACCTCATCTCACCCAACAGAAGAACTTTCTTTGCAGTCCCTGCCACAGTTCTCCCCCTACCAACAGCCTTGATACCCTTGGAAGCCGGCAGGGGTCCTAGAAGAATTCTTCCTAGTCTGTCCTTGGGGGACCTGAGGACCTTCTTATCTTGGCTGCAGTGGAGAAGGCAAAGGATCAGACAGACCAGGGGCAGATTCTGAGGGTCTAAAGGCAGAGCAGGATGAGGCTGGGGGCACTTACAGAGGCAGATCCTGCTCTTCCCCAGGGCCTGGGTACTAAACTAGAGGAGAAGACAATTCTGGGGGTGGGAAAAAAGATGTGGGGGCATGAAAACTGTGACAAAATTTCCCCTGGCACTGCCTTCCAAACTTTGTGCCTAATCTTGCCCTTACCCCAAGTCAGCCTCATGAAGCACAGAACAAAGAATGTTGAATATATTCAGGAAAGGGGAGGATGCCAAGAAATTAAGCTTTGGCAACCTGGTGGTAAAGGCCCCATTTGCCTTCATCCTTCCCTCTTTAACCCTAGCTCATAAACAGTGACAAAAGAAAGCTAGTAGGAATGGAGGCGGTTGGAAACTTGCTTTTCTCTTCCAGGGTACATCAACACTACGTGAACCAAATGGGACCTAACCAAGAGCCCTAGGGCAGGGTACTACATGAATTTAGGGGCTTTTCTAATTCAGCCTTTAGGGCCTTGAATTTGAATTCTGTCTCTGTTCTAGGCTTAGACATTGGACAAGAGGTATAAGACTACCCCTTATTATACTTTTTGGCATAACTTTCTCCAGTGGTTTATATTATAGCAGGGAAACTTGTGAGAAGATTTCTAACAAAGTTCCATATTTAATGTTGACTGGAAGATTTATTTCTAGGTTAAAAAGTTGGAATAATTGGTTCATTTCCTTCCCTTAGAAGTTAAGATAAAATTCTGGAACGGGTACTAAAGGAAATCTGACTGCTTGGAATCAAGGGAATGGATGAGATGAACTATGAAACAGGCTATATAAAGAAAATGTCCCCCATGGGCTGGGGTTGTGGCTCAGTGGTAGTGCTCTTGCCTAGCATGCGTAAGGCACTGGGTTTGATTCTCGGCACCACATACACATAAATTAAATAAAGGTCCATCAACAACTAAAAAATATTTAAAAAAAGAAAGAAAGAAAATGTTTCCCAGTAATGCTCCATAGAAAATGCACTTGCTTGACTCCCTAAGTTGCTTCCCAGACTCAGGGGACAAAAACATGAGGCTTCAGGCAACAGAATATAATGTCCTGCTGACTCTTCATTTGACTTTCCTCCCACTATACCTACCTTTCCTTTCCCTGTGTTCCCAGGAACTTTCTAAACCCAGGAACAAAAGCAGCTCCAAGACAGGATTCAAATGAATTCCCCTCTCTGGGTCTTGGTTTCCACATCTGTAAAATAATGGGGTCAGGCAAGATGAGCTCCAAGTTCCCTTCCTTGGAACAGAAAAGATTCTCTGATTCAGACCCTAAAAGGCACCAGTCCTAGTTTGCATGCCATTTTGCAGGTAACTTTGATGGCACTGTTTCAAGTCAAAATGTAGAAAGGCTGAGGATATAGCTCAGTGGTAGAGCTTGACTAGCATGTGTGAGGTCCTGGGTTCAACCCCAAATATGGAGGTTGAACAGAAATATCTCTGAAATCTGCCTTTCTCTTCCCTCTCATCATAGTCTCTAGTTCCATGGTCCTTAGCTCTTGTACTTTCCTTCAGGGATCTCAAACCTCTGTCCCCACATTCCTTTCACAATTTTACAGCACTCCTTGGGATAAAAACCCAACTAGACAAAACCCCAGGGGCAAGAAAACAGCCTTACCTATTATTCTGATTGCAATTTTGGGCTCTAAGATTTGAGTCAATCAGCACAGTTCCATCCCTTTTGGAGGTCCTGGCAGGGGGGAAATCCTGGCACCTCTCCCCAGCGCCTCCCCTCCTCCTCTACCTTGCTATTCTCCATGCCAGAACGCAAAGTGGCCAGTGATTGATGGGCCCGAGTTCCCGGTAACCGCACCCAGTGGCCCAATCCTCCTCCCTTACCCAATCCCTCCCCTGTCCCTATTCAGAGATCAGATTGTCTCATGTTGGTCCCTGAGGTCCCATTAATTAAAAATACATCCAATTAAATGGCAGGTGAAAACGTGCTATTGGAGCTCTACACCCCCTTGCCCCAGCTTGGTCTCTCCACCCCCACCCCTCCTTCTAAGGCTCAGCTGTGCTTTGAGCTGAGAAAAGAGTGGGGGGCGGAGAAAGAGGGAGAGAGTAGAGGAAGACATAGGGGTGGGAGTATGATGGGGGGGCTACTTGAACCTCTGCCAGGGTAGCATGTGCCAGCCTGGGAGGGTGGCACCGTGCCCTGGTGTCTAATTTCTGGAGGTGTGAGTAGGTTCAGTCAGCTGGGTACCCACCTCCATTTCCCTTAAAGGGGCAGAGGGCAATCAGAGGGTATGGTTAGCTCTGCTGCCATGCTTCTGGGCTTGATACGTGAAGGACGGAGTATAAATGAAAGAAGGATCTTAGAATGGTGTGTAATATTTAGGGGTTGGGAGGATCTGAGACTTCCATTCTTGGCATATCTCGGCTCATCCCCAAACTAGGAAGAAGATAACAAGGAGTGAGGAGCCGGATGGGACCCAGGTGGCAGGGCAGGGTGATGCTCCTGAGTCTGGCTGTACCTTTCCTGCAGGAAAGCTGAGAGAAAGATAGAGGGAGAGGGAGGGAGAGAGGGAGAGAGGAAGGAGCCATAATTTGGGTGGGAGCAGATGGATCAGATAGGATCAAATATACAAAGATGGATGTTCATGTGGGTACCATGTCCCTAAGTACTTAATGGGAAAGAGGGCTTAGAGGGACCTGTTCTGTTTGCTTTTTCTTTAGGCAAAAAGCAGTAGCACTAGAGGGAAGTCACCTTGGCCTGGCTGCTGGCAGGCTGTGATTAGGACAAGCTCTGACCATTCTCATGCTCCTCCATCCTTAAAGGATCCCCAGATTTTTCCAGGTTATACATCTGCCCCACCCCATCCCAAGCCCTCCAGCCCCAAGTGATACAAGGCTAATAGGCACTTAGCACATTGAAGAGGAGTTAGAGAAGAAAGGGTGATGAAGAGTGGCACTCAGAATCCAGGCAGGAGTGGGGGTGCTGACCCAGGGCCCCCGCCTGGCCTCCTTGGCAGCCTCAGCACCTCCTCACTTCACTGTAACGCTAATTGGAGATTTTAATCTGCACTGCTGCTCTGCTCAGGGTGCTGGGGGGAGCGCCAGCTGTGCAGTAATTCCAGTAGCACCGACTGTTTAATCAAGCTGTCCTCCTGGGGAGGGGCCCTCAGGCATGGGGGGAGGAGGAAGAAGAGGACCTCTGTCATCTCCCTGAGCCTATTCAGACTGGAAGAGCTTCATGGAGACTGAGGGTCAATTGTGGGGTCCTCACTCCTGTAGAAGCCTGTTGGCCATTTGGCATCACTAACAGAGCCATGACATTGCATAGGGTGGGTATGAGGCACAAGGACCAAAGCAGCCCCCTTTCCCATCCTGTTTTCTGACACCTTTTCTGGCTCAGAGCCTAGAGGTATCCTGAGTGTACTCCAGCCACTCAGTCTAAACACATCTATTAGACTGTCATGAGTTCTTCAGGTCTGTGCTGGAAGAGATGATGGGGTGACACACTTTTTCAGTCTCCAGCCCCCCAATACTTTCTCACTAACAAAGACACTTGGAATACTTGTAAAATATTCTCCCCCCTAAAAACCATAGACACCCCCACCCTCTGGGCCAGAAAGCAATTTTCAGGAGGCAAGGGGACAATGGGGTGGACAGCTAGAACCTGTTATACCCTGAAGGAGAGAGCACCTGTGTGAACTGCTCAGTACCTGGAACTAGGGGCTTTCCAAGCACAACTGGAAGTGCACTGAGCTAGCAGGCCGCTAGGGCAGTGTTTAGGGTCTTAAGTCATTTTAAAGAAAGAACAAGTGGTTCCAGTTAATTCTTCTGACTCCTTGGCCCTCAGCTCTCAGACTCTCTGGGGGTGTCTCTGAGAGGTCAAGGAGAAAGGGTGCCCTCACCCAAATTGTCTGCTAAGGTGTGAGTTTTAATTGGTCAGCAGTGCCCTCGTGTGGCAGAAACCAATACTGCAGTTGCCTGACTGGTATGGTTGCTTTGAGGAATCAGACATCCTGCTTGGCGGGTAAGAGTTATAAATGTTGGTATTCTCTGTACCATCAAGGTAGCCCATACATACCTCCTAGGTGACTACTTCCAGGGACATTTCCTGATTTCTAACATCTGCTTCAGCCCTCTTATCTACCCTGTTTCACTTGCTCCACTTCTAACTCAAAAGCATCTGCCTCAAGGAAAGCAGCACCTTGCTCAGCGAAGGTACTTATTTGGGAGTGCTGCTTGAGCTATCAGAATTGCAGGAGTAAGAGGGATGCTGCTGAGAGAGGAAGCCAAGGGTCAAGAGGAAAAGATGATGTCACTCTAAGGCCTGGTAGGCAGGAAGATGCTCTGACCCCCCTGACATTCTTTAAAGGCCCCAGAGGAAAGCTGACACCTGAATTCCAAAGAGCAATATCCAGCTGATTCTTCCCTTCAGTCATCCATTTTCCATTTCCCAGGGAAGTCTGGGAATAAGTAGAGTCAGAAAGACTCTGGGAGCCTAAGATCTGAATCCTGGGAAACAGTCACCAGATAAAATACCTTTCCTTGAAAAGATCCAGGTACTCTACTAGGATGCACATCTAGGGATTCAGACTTCCAGCTCCCAAGAAAAGGACTGCCTCTCCCTTCCCCTCTAGCCTCAAAGACCATCTACTTACTGGTCCTTTCCCTTTTAAAATTTTTATTTATTTAATTATTTTAGTTGTTGATAGACCTTTATTTTATTTATTTATATGCAATGCTGAGAATCGAACCCAGTGCCTCACATATGCCAGGCGAGTATGCTACTGTTGAGCCCCAGCCCCAGCCCCATCACTGGTTCTTTTCTATACCCACTAAATGGGGGGAAAGGTTCTGAACTACAGAAAAAGGAATGGATATTTGATAGCTGGAGGGACTCTCTGAAGAGAAGGGTTTGAAAGTTAGCAAGACAAGGAGTTGAGTCTTCTTGCTGGAGATAATAAACAACAGAAATACCATCAGAAAAGCTGGACACACTGCCACATGTCTGTAGTCCCAGCTACTTGGCAGGCTACTTAGCAAAGAGGATTGCTTCTTGGGCAACATAATGAGACCTAGTCTCAAAAAAAAGAAGAAGAAGAGAAAAAAAAAATGTTACTCCCAGAAAGAAATATGGCCCTATTTGGGATTAGGAGAAGGGAGAGCATACCTACCACCAGGCAAAGAGGACAAGGGTGGGCACTGGAGCCAGGTGACCCACCTGCTTTGGGCATTGGGAATGGAGGAAGCAGGCTGCAGGCATCTACTTCTGGTATTTCACACAGTGTTCGGACAGGTGCAGTCTCCCATTGAACCTAGAAAGGAGGTGAAGAAGCTGGTTAGAGGAAGGGAGAGGGACATCACTATTTTATCTTGATTTGAAGGAATAGAAAATAGCTTTTTGGAAAAGAAGTATTTTGTGTATGATAGGGGTAGTGGGTGAGTGGGGCAGCCATCCTAAAGAGAGGGCTGAAAGTGAGTAACCACATCAGCATGGAGGAAATATCTATTAACACAGCTGGCCAAGAGGAAACAACAGGAATGAAATGCTGGTGCCAAGAAAGGGAGTCACTTACTCTAGCTGGAAGAACTTGTTAACCAGAAGATAGGACACCAGAAAGCCATCAAATTAAAAAGCTAAGAAAACTCCTCTGGAGATCTCTGAGGGTAAGAAACTTCCCTGAGATCAGGGTACAGTGAGGCTGGGGGTATTACATTTAAAAGAAGATAGTGACCTCTGATTGGCCTTAAGTCCCTACCTGGCATTAAGTTCTTGGAAGAGACTGAATTTGCCAGGTTCTGAATGCAAGGTGTCTGATGGATGTCACCGAATTCCTCAGGGGCCACCCCTACTACTGTCACCTGTAAAGGAATATGACAGGCTACATTAGACATGAGACAAGGGACTAGACACCAAAGAGGGTCTTTCGTCTTTAGCACAGGAAGCATGAGGTTGGCAGATAACAGTGAGAGTGGTGGCTGCCATTTCTCCAATGTCTTAAAACCTGAATTCCCCCCAAAGTTTTAGATAAACTTTAAGCATGTTCCCAGAGAGTTACATTTCCAGATTTCTGTCTCCCAGGTTGATAAAGACAAAACCATTGTCCCTGTATTCATAGATAGAGAATTCAACAAAAATAGAAGCTATGAAACACAGAATTATAAAAGGCAACGGAGGTTAATGGTTAATATAATATAAATTTTAGGCAAGAAGATAACTTAGAGGAGATCACTCAATTTTTTTTTAATTTGTATCTTTTTTTTTTTTTTTTAGTTTTCGGGCGGACATAACATCTTTGTTTGTATGTGGTGCTGAGGATCGAACGCGGGCCGCACGCATGCCAGGCGAGCGTGCTACTGCTTGAGCCACATCCCCAGCCCCATCACTCAATTTTTGATCAGATCACCAGCTTAGATTTGAGACTCTCTTGTCCATCACAGCTTCTCTGAGAAGGGCTCTGAGATACAAAAGGATCTTGACTATAAAACAGAAAGACTTGGGCTAGGGCTGTAGCTCAGTGGCAGAGTGCTTGCCTAGCATGCGTGAGGCACTGGGTTCGATCCTCAGCACAACATAAAAATAAACAAATAAAGGCATTGTGTCCATCTACAACTACAAAAAAATAAAAATTAAAAAAAAAACACAGAAAGACTTGTAGGACAACAGACTTGACGCAATTTGGGCAAGTAGGTCTATCATATATTCCCAGGGCAGATACAAATTTGCATGGGAAGCAATACCACATTTCCCCTATGCTATCAATTAGGGCATAATGGACAAAATGTAAAGAATATGTACTGGGATCTGTCTGTCATCCGCAATGTTCATTTTGCAGATCCCCTGCACCCCCTGCCAACTATATCCATAACTCTTATCTCCAAGCTGTCCAGTTGTGCCTTTCTCCCTTCAGCATTGTCCTCTCTGCTCATCAGGGGCTCCTGATTTCATATGCTCAGAGAAAGCATGGGACTGTGGATGTATCCAGGAGGGTTCCAGGAGGAGAAGTGAGACTTAGCCCAGAGTGAGATGATTTACAGAACCTGCCCTGCAGATTAGACAACTGAGCACACCATGTAGGGTTTAGGCCACCATGAGGCACCACCTTCCAAACAACTCAACACTAAAAAAATAAAATGAGAGAGGTAATGCTCCCTTTACCCCCACAACTTTCCTGTAATCTCAGAGAGTATCTTATTTTGTTTTGGGTTCTCTAATCTAGTGTCATTCAGAGACCCCCCTTCTACCTTAATTTTCTAGCAGATGAAATGTTTTCTTTCTACCTTCATTTTGATTCATTTCCCCCCTTATTTTTGGAAAATAAAATAAATGCCACAAACCCGTTCCCTGTGGTAACTTAGTTCTGATACTGCTTGCTTAAAATCTAAAAGGTCAGAAGGATGATTCTTTTCAATATAGCCATCTTGTAATACAAAGGGGTCTGAGTTGAGATTTGGGATTAATTCCTCACGTTGCCTTTGAGGTTCTATTCCTCCAACCTACAGAGATAGTGGCTAAGTGTTCTGAAATTTGGAGTAACTCTGAGAGCATCAGGGTCTTTGGCTGTGGCTGCCATTTGCTTCCCAATGAAAAAGAGCTCTAATAAAAAGTGCTTAATTTGCATGTCATTAGATGTTATCCTTTAAGGTAAAAATATAAAAATGTTTTTCTATTAATGACTTTTAAACCTACCTTTACCTTCCAATCTCTGTCCTTCCCCCTTCAAAATCTCAGTTTCTTTCCTTTTCTGAGGAAGCTGAGGGTTTTCAGGAATAGGGGATTTTAAAGTTGGAGGCTCTATATTCATATAGGTTAAGATTCTGGCCTCTTGGATCTAGTCCTAGTATGGTTAAACCAACTGTGAGATTGTGGGTGAGGTACTATGCCATCCTTAAACCTGTTTTCTGTTCTGTAAACTGAGAGCCTGGATTACCTGACCTCTTTTCTAGCTCTGGCAATGTATGATTCTCTAACAGAGAAGTCACGTCAAGTATCCATGCATTAGGAAGTGAAATATTCCTGCCCTTTACACCTCTCTGCACCACGTTAGAGAAGGTCCCCTGTAGATGCTTGCCTTCCTCCTGCAGGTTTAACTGAAGGGACAGGTGAGACCCAGTAGGAGGCCTTCCTTTAAGTGCCAAACCCTTTCTATTAAGAGGAAATTAATTGGTTGGGGTTGTGGCTCAGTGGTAAAGCGCTTGGCTAGCATGTGCGAGGTACTGGCTTCGATTCTCAGCAGCTCATATAAATAAATAAATAAAGATCCATCAAAAACTAAAAAATTAAAAAAGAGGAAATTAAGTAAGGAGAGAATCTATACTCTGACCCCGAATCTTGATAAAACAAAAGGCAGGTATGGGGCAGGAAGGAGTTTGATAAGCATGCCCCATCTCAGATTGGGCACCCCCTCAACTTTGCCCTAGGGAGCCCCATGTAAGCAGTAGCTGCTAATCTAACATAACTGTGTAGATGGAATGAATAGAGCAAAGGACATGTAAATAATCCACAGCATTGACTTCAATATCCAATCAATGCCCACACACTCACTATATTCTCCTACTTTAGGCCTATAGGTACATATAAGAAGCCACAATGGCAAGGGACAAACCATTTCTGTCTTCCTCCTCCCCAAAGTCGAAGAGACAGTGAGACAGGAGCTACTTGGCTTCCTATAAATTGTTTTGTCCTTCCTCACAGCTGCAATCAGAAGCTAAGGGCTCCCGCAGGCCTTGTTCTGATCTGCTGCAGGCGATGGAGGGTTTTTGAAACGGAGAGGACTTGGCTGCAGCCCCGTTTCAGCTGCCGCTGGGGCTGCCTAATGGGCTCATTCGGGAAGACCCCCGCCTGCCGTACTAAAGAGTCCCCTGCCGACCCCCTCCCTAGTCCCAACCCAATTAATAAATGGGGGCTCCTACTTTATGGCTCTAGGAGCAGGAACCAGAGATGCAAATGACCCCCAGGGAGGGACAGGAAAAGGCCTTCCAAGAATCAAGCCAGAGAATTGTGCATCCACAGGCACATGCTGCCACAGGCTAGTCATATCCCATTTTCAAGGCATTAAAGGGGAAGAAACTGACAGACAAAACCAAAAAACTGAATTTTCTTTCCCAGATCCAAAGTTGACTAGCATCCTTAAAAGTTTGTGGGCACACCCCAGCAATGGGACTCTCTTGTCTGGTTCCCCACCCTGAAATGGGTGGGGTGCAGGTTACCATCTGGACACAGTACATGCTCCACGGTTCTCCAGGGACAGGGCCCCTTCTAGACTCTGCAACACTGAAGACAGGCACACCACATCAGTTGGCTAATAAACACTTATTCCTTAAAAACAAAGCTGTCTCTTACCAAGCTTCCATCATTATCAGCAGCACAAATGTGTCCTGGGATCATCTGGAGGCCATCTTTGTCTCTCCCCTCACATCTAAACTTTGAGCAAGCCTAATTCCTATGGACCACCCCCTTCCATTTCTTCTGATTCCCCCTTTCCTAGTCTACTGTAGGCTTTACTGCCTCAGGTATGGGCAATAACAACAATATTCTACAGAACTCTGCAGTTGCAAAGTCCTTGGAATAATTTTTCATCTCATCATGCTCACTTCTGTTACTGCTTACCAAACCAAATTTCAACTCCTCATACACAGGGACTGGGACATTTGCCTAGCATGTATCAGGCCCTGGATCCCCTGCACAAAACAAACAAACAACAAAAAACCCACACAGCTCCAATTCCTCAATTCAGGCCAAGAAAATTGCACCTCCAACTTCATTTCCTAATACCCTTTCCTGTACCATCCTAGGTCAATTCATGTCCCTCTGCCCAAAATACATTTCCATAAGTCTCCTCCCTCTGTTCACCTTTCTCTCACTTTCAAAGAATTTTTTCTTATTAACGCCACTTTTTCTAATTATTTGATTTGGCTTCCTCTTTGTTAGTATACTCTTACTTTATAACTTGACTTAATATGCTAACTTAAAAATATAGATTCCCCACTCCTGTCCCAGGCCTAAGACTCATCTCTCATACTAGGCTCAGAAGCTTCCTAAAAGTGAGACCTCCCTTCAACCTCCTCCCACCCCTAGATGTACTTACTCAAGACATAACTCTGCTAATGATATTACCCCTCCCCACTGAAGCAGTCTCCATGGTATAACTCTTGGGATATTATACCAAACAACCAAGAGGAATACAATCTAAATCTGTCTGTTTTCAGACTCCCACCTGCCCCAAAATTAACACTTTTCAAAATCACAAATTCAATTTCATGACTTCAAAATGTTATGAACAAAAATCGGGGGGAAAAAAGCACAGTCACCAAATGAATTTATTTCCTTGATTCATAGTGTATAAACACTATTTTCCACTATTTTCTCTGAGGACGCCTTAGGATTAGAAGCCTTGTTTTGTTCTCTAAGATTAAATCCTATATTCTTGGGTCATGACTTGACTTTCTAGAATGAAAATCAATCTCAGTGCCAAAAGTAATCTTGCTCCCTATCACACCTGCTGATTCACTGTATAGTCTCTAGGAATGGAGAAGTTATTTACCTTTCAATTGTCTGGTTCCTTAGATTAACCTCAATCTCAAATGCTGATTCTTCATTTCCTCTAGGTTAGTCCTGTGTGGTTAGAAAGGAAAAAGTGGTCTACCACTTCCCTTTATCTCCTACATATTGCTCAGGACAATAAGAGGGATGGATGTCTTTTCTTTCCAGCCCTTGGTCTCAAGGTGCCTAAGAACCAAGACAGTAATTTGCTAAGTAAAGCCCTTCAAATATCCAATCAATGCCCACACACTCACTACTGTTTTCTCCTACTTTAAGCCTATGGATACCTGTAAGAACCCATAGTGGCAAGAGACACACC